AAGGCAGGATCATCAAGTTTGCAGACGACACCAAATTGGGAGGGATAGCCAGTACTCCAGAGGACAGGAGCAGGATTCAAAATGATCTTGACAGATTAGAGAGGTTGGCCAAAACTAACAAAATGAAGTTCAACAGTGACAAATGCAAGATACTCCACTTTGGCAGGAAAAAACGAAATGCAAAGATACAGAATGGGAGACAATGCCTGGCTTGAGAGCAGTATGTGTAAAAAAGATCTTGGAGTCCTCGTGGACAACAAGTTAAACATGAGCCAACAATGTGATGTGGCGGCAAAAAAAGCCAATGGGATTTTGGCCTGCATCAATAGGAGCATAGTGTCTAGATCTAGGGAAGTCATGCTACCCCTCTATTCTGCTTTGGTTAGACCACATCTGGAATATTGTGTCCAATTCTGGGCACCACAATTCAAGAGAGATATTGACAAACTGGAATGTGTCCAGAGGAGGGCGACTAAAATGATCAAGGGTCTGGAGAACAAGCCCTATGAGGAGCTGGGCATGTTTAGCCTGAAGAAGAGAAGGCTGAGAGGAGATATGATAGCCATGTATAAATATGTGAGAGGAAGCCACAGGGAGGAGGGAGCAAGCTTGTTTTCTGCTTCCTTGGAGACTAGGACGTGGAACAATGGCTTCAAACTACAAGAGAGGAGATTCCATTTGAACATGAGGAAGAACTTCCTGACTGTGAGAGCCATTCAGCAGTGGCACTCTCTGCGTCGGAGTGCAGTGGAGGCTCCTTTTAAACAGCTTTTAAACAGAGGCTGGATGACCATCTGTCAGGGGTGATTTGAATGCAATATTCCTGCTTCTTGGCAGGGGGTTGGACTGGATGGCCCATGAGGTCTCTTCCAACTCTTTGATTCTATGATTCTATGAAACCTTAGTCATATTTAGAATCTCCCATTTATGATTTGCTAATATTTAGCTTGAGGGAATCATATGTTTATTTGGGGACGATTACTTTATAAACCTAGGTCTGTTTCCCCGTGAAGAGCACGGAAGGCCGCTCTTTCCTACCAGAGTCATGGAAGATCCCGCCTGAACAATATTCCTTAGTTGAAGCTTCAACTTTTGGGAACTCTATCGAAGCCAAGATTTTCAATGTTATGGTCCTCAAATAAACTGGTATCTCTACTCAATGTGGGGTTATGCTAATCCTGGTTTTACAAGATGGCTCAAACTGCAAAAGAGAAGACCTATTTGCCATCGTTGAAAGTCTCAAATCGTTCCAAGAACACTGACCATGAAAAAATCCTTCTTTTATTTAGTGAAATCATGCATTATATTAACATTTCAGTAAATTTGCAATTCAATGAATAAGGAGAACTATAAAACTGGAAGATTATTATGTTTTTTAGATGAGTAAAATATTAGGATACAGGGCTAATATTATAGGGGGACACCATTTTATTTTGGTGCTTCAGATGCACAACATGGACAACTCCAGAGATATTGACAAGCTGGAATGTGTATCCAAAAGTCCCAGGCTTAGCTATCTCCCCAGGCATTTCCTGACCAATCAGCTTCATGCACACACACACATTAGTGTGACACACACACATTAGCTGATTCCTTGCATGCTCCAACAATGAGCATCCATGGATTTTGATATCTATTGGGATGTTATGTCTTGGTTTTGTTTGGAAGGATTTCCAGATCTTTGAAGTGAATCCAGAAGACCCTTCAAGCCTTCTGACCCTCTGACTATTCTGGGCAAAACAAACAAACAAACCAACCAACCAACCAAGAAATTACAGGCTGAAAGTCTGTTTTCATTTTCAAAACATTTTATTTCCACAAATGTCACAGATCAAAATAACAAGAAGCTGGGCCGATAGGGATTTATTTATTATTTTTGGTATCGCTCTTTGGCTGAAAGGTGAAAAAGGAAAACTCAGACAATAAAGATATGTTTTGTAAAAAGATCATGCAAAGCTAAAACAAAGCCATTTACAGTCAACTTCCTTTATTTTTACAGAGCAAATAGTAAAAAATACATCATTTTTCATAGAAAAAAACCCAAAGCAAATATACAAAAACTGCAGGCTGTTGTGGCCTACAGGTAAGGTCTACGCGGTTGATGCTTCAGAAAGAGATTTTATAAAGTCGCCCAGTGGGAGGAATGGATGTTTTGGGCTCCAATGGTTTCATACTGGAATCAGTGTACCTGCGATTAGGATATTGTTGATCAAAGGGTGTCTATGAATTATACTTTTCCACAGATCCTTTCCTTACAAGCAATACAGAAATGAATCAAAAGGGATAGGTTGTGATTTGAATGAATTAGTGCTGGGGAAACTGCTGGCTTCTGCTAAGCATTGATGACAGTCCATTTATTTTGAAAAGAACCTGAAATATCTTAAATTGTTCTCTTAGCTTTGGCAACTGAAAGGTGTCATGTGTTGCCATCACCCTGTCTTGTGGATGGGAGATATAGAAAAGTGGAATGTTCCAAAAGGGTTTGTTCTTGTGACATGGTCTCTGTTGAAACACTTCACTATTTTTGTTCGTTTGCCCCAAATAGAATAATGTACAGATGAGATATAGGAATTTCATTTTTTTCTCAATGGTGTCCTCAATGGCAAGGGTGCTACAAAATACCATATCTTCTGAACAACCCTTGTGAGACTGTTGCACATTTTATTCTAGAGCAGTGGTTCTCAACCTGGGGTCCCCAGATGTTTTTGGCCTTCAACTTTCAGAAATCCTAACAGCTGATAAACTGGCTGGGATTTCTGGGAATTGTAGGCTAAAAACATCTGGGGACCCCAGGTCACTTGCTGGACTGGTGCGGAGCTTTGGCATAGAGTGCTACCAGTATGCAGATGATACCCAGCTACTCTTGCGTCTCGAACCTGGGACAACGCGATTCCTGAGAACTTTAGGCTGTGTTTGGAAGCAGTGATGAGTTGGCTGCGAGCGAGCAGACTAAAAGTGAATCCTGCAAAAACTGAGATCCTCTGGCCCGGCCAGCTGCCAGAATTAATCCAGTCTCTGCCTGATTTCGATGGGGAAGCTCTGGTTCCGTCTTCCACTGTTAAAAGCCTTGGGGTTGTGTTGGACTCATCGCTGACGATGGAGGCCCAGATCACTGCCATAAGTAAGCAGGCCTTTTTTCATCTTCGCCAGGCAAGGAAATTGGCATCCTACCTTTCGGTAGAAGCATTGGCAACAGTAATCCACACAACAGTCACCACGAGGTTGGACTATTGCAATGCCTTATATGCCGGCCTTCCAAAGTCAACAACCCAGAAGATTCGGATGGTCCAAAATGCAGCGGCCAGGCTGCTAGCGGGATCATCTATAAGATCCCATATCACACCGATTCTGCAACAACTGCATTGGCTACCAATAGAACATTGGATCTCTTACAAGAGACTGATCCTGATATTTAGAGCTCAAAATGGCCAAGGACCTTTATATCTTAGGGACCCACTCATTCCTTTTCTCCATCAGTGATTTTCCTCGATCCACCCAGGAAAATCTCCAATACATACCGGGCCCTAGGGTAGGTACACCTGGAAGCTACAAGGCGTAGAGCTTTTTCGACCTATGCTCCAATTCTGTGGAACTCATCGCCTCCATACATTAGAGCAATGTCAGAGTTGCGGCCTTTTGTAAAGGCGCTCAAGACTTGGCTGTTTGGTTGTGCATTTAAGTAATCATATCTAATTTGCCAAATAGTCACTGTTGAATGTTTTTATGTTGAATGTTTTTAGATTGTATAAATGCTATTTTAGATTGTAAGTCGCTTGGAGCACCTTGGTGGAGAGTGACTAATTAAGAAATAAAGTGAAGTGAAGTGAAGGTTGAGAACCACTGTTCTAGAGAGTAGTCATTTTAAAATATGTTTTCTTTTTATCTCTGACTTCCTCTTGTTGCCTATACCTGTGTTGTGATTTTGTTGCTATATGCCAATATAAAAAGGCTGTGCATGTGAAATTATTTTCTTAAAGGCTTCACTGCATGCCACAACTATATCAGTGCCAGGCACCAAAGCCTTCTGGCCTCAGGTCTTTGCTAAGGCTAGACTTTTTTTGGGTCCTCCAATGGGAATCTATTGTCAACTTCAACTAGAAGTTGGCCACAGAGTTGTGTTAGAAGACCATAAAAGTCCATGGAGAACCTTGAAATGCCGTGAATAATCAAATCCACAACTGATGCACCTACAACTATGGAGGTCCAACTATGGTATGGATTGCGATGAAGGACTCAAGCAGAAAGGAATGCTTTTGGCTGAGAGTGGTGAATGTTGCTCACATCCAACGTGATATCTAATACATGCTAAGCCTTTTCTGTCCTAGAATCGTAGAGTTGGAAGAGACCTCATGGGCCATCCAGTCCAACCCCCTGCTAAGAAGCAGGAATGTGACATTCAAAGCACACCTGACAAATGGCCATCCAGCCTCTGTTTAAAAGCTTCCAAAGAAGGAGCCTGCACTACACTCTGGGGCAGAGAGTTCCACTGCTGAACGGCTCTCACAGTCAGGAAGTTCTTCCTCATGTTCAGATGGAATCTCCTTTCTTGTAGTTTGAAGCCATTGTTCCGCGTCTATAGAATCATAGAGTTGGAAGAGACCTGATGTGCCATCCAGTCCAACCCCCTTCTAAGAAGCAGGAATATTGCATTCAAAGCACCCCTGACAGATGGCCATCCAGCCTCTGTTTAAAAGCTTCCAAAGAAGGAGCCTCCACCACACTCCGGAGCAGAGAGTTCCACTGCTGAATGGCTCTCACAGTCAGGAAGTTCTTCCTGATGTTCAGATGGAATCTCCTGGTTCATATTTGGATAAGAAACCAGAAGAGAAATCTTACAGTGATCTTTAGGTAAGACTAGACAAAACCTTGGAGAACTTTGATACACCTGGTTTGGCAAAAAGAGTCCCAGTTCATTCCCTCCCATCCCACTTTTCCAGCTGCTTTCACAATGTCCTACTTCATCCCTTCGTTTCTTTCTTCTCCTCCTCCCATTTTCCCCCTTTGTCCTCAGCTTACTTCATGGGCCACAAACTGAGTTCAAAGTGCAAAAGTCAAAGCAGGGGGGATAGGAAAGGAGGGGTGAAATCCCACAATAGCGAAGTGCTGCCACTTCTCCAAGCTTGTCCGTTCTTCATTAAGACATTTTGCCTTCTTGAGCATGCTCTGATGTTGCCAGATCAAGCCTCTTTAACTGTGAAATATTGGAGGGTTTGACAACTAGAGCTGACTGCTCTAGGCAAAGGAACCCAAGTATGATGCAGAGAAAGGCAGCCAGTTGTTTCTAATTGAATCAAGAGTTTCTGAAGAGCTCCGCACCTATTTGGAGTTATGCTGTCCTGGGATCTCAATCATAGTCAGAGGAGCCCCCGGTGGCGCAGTGGGTTAAACCCTTGTGCCGGCAGGACTGAAGACCGACAGGCCACAGGTTCAAATCTGGGGAGAGTGTGGGTGAGCTCCCACTGTCAGCTCTAGCTTCCCATGTGGGGACATGAGAGAGGCCTCCCATAAGGATGGTCAAACATCAAAACATCTGAGTGTCCCCTGGGCAACGTCCTTGCAGACAGCCAATTTTCTCACACCTGAAGCGACTTGCAGTTTCTCATAGTAAGCATTTCTGATACTTAACTGCCTTCCACTAAACTCAGTTAGTAGAAATTCAAAAGTAAAATTCAAAATGAATCCATTTTTGGGGATTATTACTTGAGCAAAAGGGGTGAGAAGAAGACGCCCGATCCCTAACTAGCACCATTGGAGCAACACGGACGGCAGCTTGCCCTTTACAGTCAGAGTCCTATGTGCTCACAAAGTTTATCGGAAACATGCTAATTTTAAGAAGTTGAACCAATCAGAAACCAAAAAACACCCTTCTCAATAAACAGCTATTTCATGTTCCAATCGTAGCATTTGTCATGTTGTAATATGGCTTGAAATCAGAGTTTGGTGAGCTAACAAAAAATAGATATCCAGATTTCCATGGAAAAAGGAACAAACAGGCTCTTTGGATCTAGTTCACAGGAAGGTTTGAAGTTTTAAAAGAAACAGTGGAATGATCAAAATGGTAAAATTAAAATTGGGAGGATTACAGAGGCACTTGGGACCTAAATTTCCGATATATGGAATTCAAGAAGACCGAGCAGCATTGACAGCTCCCTGTAAGATAATGCGGTTGATTCCAGCAGACACAGCCAGAGAGATGAGCCCCGATTCTGTACAAACCAAAAAGGCAACAATAAAATAAAGATCCACATTTAGAGACCACTGCGTAGCGAGATTACGATCAGCTCTGCTGAATAAAATAACTTGTATTAAATTCTAAGTACGTAATATAAGGCTGTCTAGTGTGCCACTGAGCAAAATGTTAGTTGTTGTGTTGACGTCATCCCAAGACCTTCCGCAGTTGTTTGACCAGCAAACACAAACTAGGCCACATTTTCGGTTCAAGGTAAATTCCCCATTTTCAGAGATGGCACTCTTTTACTGAGTTCTTTCCATTCCACTGACTTCATAGTTCCTTTCCAAAGTCCACAAAATATATGCCCACATTGCTTGAACTTCATGTTCCTATCTCATTCAACCATTGACTCCAGCTAGGACTTCCCAAAAAAGACAGGCAAAAAGACATTTCTGAAACACTGAGATGGTTGACTTGGGCCAAGAAGTTGTCTTGTGGCTGACTCCATGCCTACTTGATGCTTCAATCATCCACACATCTACCTCCAGAAACAACATGCGATATTTGGACGAGTTTAAGAGACCTGTCTTTGGGAAACTGTAGCCAGGAATGGGCAACTCCATGGTGTCAAATGCCTTTCCCTCCCCTCGTTATGTGGACCTACAACCTTCATGGAATGACCCTAAGCATTTTGATAGCAGAAGAAAACCTAATAAGGCATGGCACCAATGACACATAGATAGTCCCAATGTGATTCCTGCAGCCATCTTGTTATTTCTCTCTCACTCGCTTCAAAGAGTTTTAACTAATAGGGCTTTGTCGTACTACATGCCGGGATGAATGGGCCTGGTCCCGTCGCTTAAGTACAGCGCAATGTGCTCCTCCTTGGCTTGAAGGGCAGGTTTTTCTTGGAGGCTTATTGCTTCACAGCGAAGATTCGGAAGGCTTTCCCTTCCCTCAAAGTCTTTAAGCTGCAAAGGAAACAGAAGAAAATTAGAAGGAGAAGGCAAAGGGAAAGGAAAAGAGGAGCTGGAGGAGATGGAGATGGAAAAGGAGGAGAAGAAAGAAGAGGAAAAGAGGAGAAAGAAGAAGATGAAGAGGAACCCAGGAATTATGTGGCTGAACTAGTTACAAATAAAAGAACAATATAATAGGGCTGTCCAACCACAGAAAAATTTGTTTCTAAACTCGATTCGTTTTTAGGGGTTTTTTGCGTTTCATTATTTAAAAGAATTCCAAAATTTTTCTTTAAAAAAGTTCGATATTTACGAAATTTCGGAAATTACGAAACAATTTCGAAACAATTACGAATCGATTCGTTAATGGCGGGCGCAATTGCGCAATACGCTAAAAAACCTCCAAATGGGACAGGGGGAACTTCTGAAGCTTCCCTCTCCCTCTGTTGTTGACTGTTGGTGTGATAATTTATTTTTTTTATCACTGATGAAACAAACAACGACTATAAAACTTGCACCAGACATACGGAAATAATAACGAAATAATAACAAAACAATTACGAAACAATTTCGAAACAATTTCAAAACAATTACGAAACGTATTGGAAAAATTCGTTTCGTTTCTTAGTTGCTCCTGAATGGTTCAATATCACTTCGTTATCAAAAAAAATAACGAATTAATAACGAATTACGAAATTAACGAACGAAACCGCCCAGCCCTACAATATAACCAAGACAAAAAATAAGGTTTTCAAATTAAAGAAGAGTTTTGGGATAAAATTCTAAAAACTGAGACAAAACGTATAACAAAACTATATGATAAGCTGTTAGAATGGTCCACGGAAACTGAATTGATAAAAAACTGTATGGTAAATTGAGCGGAGAATTTTTCAAAACCGATAGCAATGGTGGACTGGGAAATAATGTGGAACAAAAAATTAAAGTATACTTATGCCACTGATTTGAAAGAAAACTGGATGAAAATGTTCCACAGATGGTATATGACACCAGTGAAATTAAACTATATGTATAAAGAAGTATCAAAAATTTGCTGGAACTTTAACGAACATCTATGGTGGAGCTGTGAAAAATCTCAAAAATATTGGAAAGGGATACATGAAGAAATGCAGATAATATTCAATAAAAAAATTCCCGAGAAAAGCTGAATACTATTTATTGGGAATCATAGACGGAGATATATGTTTAGATACAAATGAAGATATTTTATTTATCTATCTGACGACAGCTGCCAGAATCGTTTTCGCGCAACTATGGAAGCAGAAAGAAGTACCGGCGAAATTCCAGTGGGTAAAGAAAATAAACGAAATTAAGGACATGGATACATTAACTTTTTTATTAAAAAAGAATACAGGCAATCCAATAAAACAGACAGACTGGTCAATAATTGAAGATTACATTGAAAATAGGTCTAAGGACATGTAATTAAATAGAAGAGGTAATAAAACCTCACAAGGATGAATACATAAAAAGGTTTGACAAAAAGACAATGTACGGGCAGAGCCAGAGGAGGTCCAATTTTTGTGGACTTTTTTCCCCTCATTTTTACCGCATTTTTAATTTTTTACTTTTTCGCACTTTTTTCTCTCTCTCTCTTTTGTTGTTGTTGTGATTTGCATCTATAACTTTCCCAATTTTCTATCTTCTTCATATTATTCACCCTCTTTCGTTGTAGTTTATGATACTTCAATAAAACAAATTACTTTAAAAAAAAGATGAAGAGGAAGAGATGGAGATCGAAGAAAAAAAGGAGGAGGAGGAGGAAGGAGAAGGGGAAGAAGAGGAGCCAAGGGGAAGAGTGGTAACTTAAAGCCATGAGCAATTCACCGTCTATCTGAAAGGAAATGCATTTAATGCAACCTGGTGTCTTATCTTACATTTCAACGTATGAGATTTTTCTCTCTCGCAAAGTTCTCTCTCCAACCTTTGATTCTGTTTTGCAGCAAAGGCAAGAATAACATATAAAACTAAATTTTTGGATGCAATCCTCAATCCTGAGACTTTCTGTTCCTAAAAAGTTAGCTATCTTGGGCCATTCCCAGTCGTTTTTCCCCCCTGAGAAAGGACACAGGGGAGGTTCACACAGAACTGAGAAGAAGGACAGGGGCATCGTGGGACTTCTAGAGAGAGGGAATATTAGGCAAGTAATATTTCCCAGAAGGTCCCATGGGACAAGAAGATTTTTGGGCCAAGGTTCTGCACAGTGCTCAGACGAAGGATGAGAACTGACCCCAAGGTTAGGAGGACTCAGGGTGCGTCTACACTGTGGAATGAAAGCAGTTTGTCACCACTTGAACTGCAATGGCTCAATGCCATGGAATTATGGGAGCAGTAGTTTGACAAGGTCTTTCCTGCCAAAGAGGGCAGGTGTCTCACCAAGTTACAACTCATACATCCCCACTGCATTCATTTTGCAGTGCAAATGCATCTCAAGGAGTGTCGCCATCTGTTAGACAGGAGCCCCCAGTGGCACAGTGGGTTAAACCCCTGTGACAGCAGGACTGAAGACCGATAGGTCGCAGGTTCGAATCCGGGGAGAGGTGGATGAGCTCCCTCTATCAGCTCCAGCTCCTTATGCGGGGACATGAGAGAAGCCTCCCACAAGGATGATAAAAACATCAAACTTATCCGGGCGTCCCCTGGGCAACGTCCTTACAGACAGCCAATTCTCTCACACCAGAAGCGACTTGCAGTTTCTCAAGTCACTCCTGACACGACAAAAAAAATATCTGTTAGACCACTCAATCCAAAATTTGATGAGGGATTAACCACATTACTGTGTGAGCTCAAAGGCAAAAACAATGAAGACATTATCCCTGTATGTTGCAAATCCTCTATGCTCAGCTTCCACCTGAAATAAAGTGGAATGGCAGAGGATTGACTACTGAATTGGGACAGCCAGCAGATAGGGAGACTCCGTGACAAAGTTGCTCTAACGTTCAATTTCTTCCCTCTTTTTTAACAGCCGGCGCAAAAATTGCCACTTTGCATGTGACATAACACTACTCCAAAGAAATCCAACCCATGGTATAAGAAAATATTCACTTCCATCAAAGGACAAAGAGAATAACAGACCCCACCATTCCTTTTGGAGGAGGGACAATCTTACCTTTCAGACCGAATCCCGTTCTTCAAAGAACCACTGTAGGATTTCTTCTTGTCCACAGGCATCACATCCACGTAACCCCCTTCATTCTCTTTCAGGACCCCTGCATGCACAGCCGTCTTGCAGATACTGGAGCTCTGAAACATTGAAGAACACATTTACCATTAGGACTGTGGGTCGTAAGTCATAATTGATGTCGTAAATCTGTACTTACAACCCATATTACAAAGACAATGCCGCATGCCCACACACAAACAAATTAAAACAGTTTGTTACTTCTGTAAACTGTCGGTGAGTCAACTTCTTCTTCAGCGCAAGCAAACTCTACTGGGCAGCACTGATGCCTAGGTAGTGTTGTGTCATTGTAGAGAAATTCAAGGGGAAAGCTCTTGTAGTTTTTAAAAATGTTGTTCATAAAAGCTTGTATATTATGATTCAATCCAATTTATATTATATATAATATTACAAATAATATCACAGGGATATAAATAAATAAACACATAAAATAAATAAAAAATTCAAAATTTTCCTTTAAAATCATTGGGTGAGTGAAACGTTCTGAAACTTGGTGGGCTTAGAGTAGTAAATGTGAGCTACGATTGTAGAAAGTTTCATCCCAATAGCCCTAAAAATGAGGTAGAGAGGAGCTCCGGAAATGTTCCCATCAGCACGAATTGGCAAATAACGTAACGAAAAACTAACAAAATCTTCGGAAATTTGTATTAGATACGACACAGACCCCTTAAGAATTTTTCAAAACACTTTAGAATTAGGTTGTCCACTTTAGAATTAGGTTGTCCAAAGTTCGTAAATACAAACAAAGTGGATTTTTGGTGTCGTGCACACCTCTATTCGCCATGGCCAAGGTTCACAACATTTGAGCAATGACGGAAATGCACAAAAGGCACTTTGTGCATGTTATAACTCTATTGTTATCCACATAGGACAGAGTTGAAATGCAGCATTTAAAACCATCCACAGGGCCCTGCCTTGATCTGAAATGTTTATATGAGTAAAGCCTGGACTTCTGATCATGCCAGTAATATACGTACTACGCTGTTGCACTCCAGGCCAGGAAGCCCTCTGACTTTAAACACCACAAAGTTGAGTAAAATGCAATCATTTTATTGAAGATAATTAAAAGCAGTAGCAGTAAAAAGCAATCCACAAAAAAGGTAAATCCTATTAGGTAGAAAAGGAAAATAGGAACAACAAGTCCAGGAAATAGTCCATCAGAATTCATGAAAACAAATGCTGGAATTTCCAAGGCACAATCCCAAAATTTGACCATGAATCAAACAAGGCACTTCAGCATGGAAATAACAAGGCGCTTGATACAAGAATCTATCTAAGGTAGGGGTTCTCAAACTTTTTAAACAGAGGGCCAGGTTACAGTCCCTCAAACTGTTGGAGGGCCAGATTATAATTTGAAAAAAATCATGAATGAATTCCTATGCACACTGAACATATCTTAATTGTAGTGCAAAAAAACCCCACTTAAAAACAATACAATAATACAATACAATACAAAAATGAAGAACAATTTTAACACATATAAACTTATTAGTATTTCAATGGGAAGTGTGAGCTGATGAGATAGGATTGCTGTTGTTGTGTGCTTTCAAGTCTTTTCAGACTTGGGTTGACCCTGAGCGAGGGCCGAACAAATGACCTTGGAGGGCTGTATCCGGCCCTCGGGCCTTAGTTTGAGGACCTCTGATCTAAGGCAAGGCTTCCAGGGACCTGAGACGACATCTTGACTCAATTCCAACGTTGCTTCATCTAACTACAGATTCTGTACTTGGCACTTTTATTCCCTAATGTACTCTATATCCCAAGCAGACAGGAAAGGATTTCGCCTCAGCCTTGAATCTGCTATCAGTCTCTCCTATAATCTGGCAGAGCACCTGAGAGCCTGGTTTGTTTTTCTGTGCTGACTGAAAGCATTTCTCCTATTTACTGGCTCATTAATTTCTGCAGTTGGCCCAGGTGCTGAGTCTTTCTCAGACTCAGAGCTTTGGGAATTCTCTGATAGCAATTCAGGCCCAGAGAACAGACCATCATCCCCAAACCCTTCAGGAACTTGACTTTGAACAGGCATCCCAATGTCATTCTCTGCATCTAGAGCAGTGGTTCTCAACCTGGGGTCCCCAGATGTTTTTGGCCTTCAACTCCCAGAAATCCTAACAGCTGGTAAACTGGCTGGGATTTCTGGGAGCTGTAGGCCAAAAACATCTGGAGACCCCAGGTTGAGAACCACTGATCTAGAGCAACCTCATCACTAGACACATGAACCTCCTCTGTTATTTAACATCTATATGCGACCGCTTGCCCGACTGGTGCAAAGCTTTGGGCTTGAGTGCCACCAATACGCTGATGACACTCAGCTCATTCTGAGGATGGAGGGCCGGCCAGACTCTGTACCCAAAAATTTCCATCAGTGCCTTGAGGCCGTTACTGGATGGTCGCATGCCAGCAGGTTGAGGGTGAATCCAGCGAAGACGGAGATCCTTTGGTTGGGCCGTCCGGGTGGGAGGGAGATCCAGCTGCCTACCCTGGATGGTGAGACACTACGTCTGTCACCTTCTGTAAAGAGTCTTGGTGTCTTATTGGACCCACTGCTCACAATGGAGGCCCAAGTCTCTGCTGTGAGCAGATCTACGTTTTTCCATCTACGTCAGGCTAGGCAACTGGCTTCCTACCTCTCTAGGAATGACCTGGCTACGGTGATCCAGGTGACGGTCATCTCGAGGCTTGACTACTGTAACGCCCTCTACATTGGCCTTCCTTTGTCAGTGATCCAGAAACTGAAGCTGGTGCAAAATGCGGTGGCTCGTCTTCTCACCGGGGTGCCAGCGAGGTGTTGTATCACCCCAATTCTCCAACAGCTGCACTGGCTTCCGATTGAGTGCCAGATTACTTTCAAGGTGCTGGTACTAACCTTTAAGGCCTTATATGGTCTGGGGCCGGCGTACCTGAGGGCCTGCTTATCCCCCTACCAACTCCAGAGATTACTTCGGTCTGAAGACCAAAATTTGCTTGAAGTCCTCAACATCTGGACTTATCATCTGTCCTCTACTAGGCAGAGAGCCTTCTCGATTGTGGCCCCTTATTTATGGAATGCCTTGCCGGTTGAAACTCGAACCATCCGAGACCTACTTGCTTTTCGGAAAGCCTGTAAAACCTTTCTTTTCCGACAAGCTTTTGATGGGTGAACAACTCGGGGCTATGTCCGCCCTCGCTGCTTATTATTATTTTAAAACTAATTGAATTGTTTTAATCTGCTTCTGTAAACTGCTCCGAGCCAAATTGGGAGTAGCGGTATACAAGTTAAATAAATAAATAAATAAATAAATAAATAAATAAATTGTCACTCCCAACATCCAGAGTACCCTGATCATTAGACACAATCACAGACTGAACTCCAACATATGTGCCCAGAGTATTTCTAACAAATGACAAATCACCTTAGAGAGAAAACAGAAAACCAGTGGGTGCTTTCTCCCCAGTTTATCCAAGAGGTCGAGTCTGGTTTTCAAAGTACACAACACCTATTGACAGATGTCCCCAAACTATTTAGAAAACACACAATAGTTGACAACACCAAGCTTGTCAAGAAGAGACGCAAGCTTGGGATTGTAGAGTATTTGTGAACCGAAAGAAAAAACAATGGCACATCGACTGTACTTTCAAGCTATTTATAAGGGACACAACTCTACTGTTTCTCTTGATTTGGATTTCCAAATGCCGCAGCATCACGGAGTTAAGGTATTTATTTAACACACCAGCATATTGTAAGGATATCTCATGCATCTAGACAGGGGTAGATATGACAGATCCCACTCTCTTAGTTCTCTCTCCTACCCGAGCCATAAAAGGCAGGTTCTCCTTCCCATTTATCACTGCCTCCTTGCTGGCAGCTTTCACGATCTCAATGGCCAGTGTGAATTCTGAGCTTCTATATATGGTCAGGGAAAGGAACGGCACAACTCAAGAAAATATGTGCTACATTTCCCGTAGTATGCAATAGCAAAGCCTCTGGAATTGGCTCAGGAAAAGCAGCCTGCCTGCTAGGAACTTAGAGAAGTCATTCCATTGCAACCCCTCCCAAAAAATTCCTTCCAAATCATTTATATCCAGGCCAGTGCCATGGCTCAAGGCTCTAGAATCGTGGGAGTTGTAGTCTTACAAGGCCTTCAGCCTTCTCTGCCCAAGAGTCCTTCTGCCTCAAATACTACGACTCCATGGCAATCAGAGCAAACAGGCGTAAACAAGCTAGAACAATATTCAAATTGATTGAATCAACAACAAACATCTTTAAATGGTTTATATAGAGTGTGTGTGACTTGTGTATCAACTTAAGGCAGGAATCCCAACTGCAGCCCACTTCGTGCATGGTTCTTGATATCGTCAGCAAAAATCAGTATGCGATAACATTTATTTCTCCCAATGCGTTATATCAGATTGGCAACAAGGCACCTCAATGTCAGAAAGCCATAGATTTATAGGGACAATTTTAATAAAAATGATTAAAGATATGGGATGTCAAAGGGTGGGAACTAGAACGAGTTTAAATAATAGTCCTTGATTTCAAATTGTGCATTTGTGTCAGTACATCCACATTATTATTATTATTATTATTATTATTATTATTATTATTATTATTATATTTAGATTTATCCCCCTCTTTATCTCTCCTGCAGGAGACTCAAAGCGGCTTAACATACCAACATCAACGGACTGGGTTGTGGCGCAGCTGGTTGGGAGACAGCTGCATTAAAATCACTACTGACCGAAAGGTAATGGGTTCAAAGCCAGCCCAGGTTGGAATAAGCTTCTGACCATTTGTCTAGCTTGCTGTCAACCTTTGCAGCCCGAAAGACAGTTGCATCTCTCAAGTAGGAAATTTAGGTACTGTTTATGTGGGGAGGCTAATTTAACTAATTTACGACACCTGGCATCTGCTGGGAAGTAGCAGCCAAAATAAATAAATAAATAAATAAATAAATAATAATCCTTTATTTGTACCCCGCTACCATCTCCCGAAGGACTCAGTGCGGCTTACAAGAAGCCAAGCCCACATACAACAATAAAACAACAACAACAATACAGCAAAATAAATCAAAACAAAGCAATAACATTAACAACACACAATGACGCAACTAAAAGCTATGGCAGGGCCAAATGTAGTAATTAAAATTAAAAAGTGCTGGGCATGACCAGGAGAAAAGGGTAGGTGTTTGGAGAGGGATGGGTTTGCAGATATCCTGAATCTCTGATAAAGTGCATTGGGGACAAAATGCTTGAAGTTTCCTTATTCTGGGAAGGCACACTGGAACAGCCAGGTTTTCAAGCTCCTCCTAAAAATTTCCAGTGATGGGGCTTGCCTGATATCCATAGGGAGAGAGTTCCAGAGTCGAGGGGCCACCACCGAGAAAGCCCTATCCCTCGTCCCCACCAATCGCGCTTGCGATGCAGGTGGGATCGTAAGTAGGGACTCTCCAGATGAACGAACCCACACGATCTCTTCGTTCATCTGGAGCAGCCAATAATGAAAGGATCAAGGCAGTGAAAGGATCAAGCCCATTCCCCGTTCGGATATCAGCCAGCACTCCAATACCTTAAATCAAGAAGTAGCTCTACAGAGATACTCGCAGGAACACCTCAGCAAGCAAGAGTTCAAAAGTGGCAGGCTAAAACCCGGAACCTCAATCAGTGGCTGTGACCAGATGAGAGACTCCCTTCTGGGCACACTTGGAAAGTGCTAAACAGATTGTTCCCTACGCACCAAGAGATGCAGGGCCAGCCTTAAGAAATGGGGCTACAAAGTGGAGTCCATGACATGTGAGTGTGGAGAAGAGCAAACCACAGACCACCTACTACAATGCAGTCTGAGCCTGCCACAAGCACAGTGGAGGACCTTCTTATAGCAACACTAGGGTCACTTCAAGTGGCCGGCTACTGGTTAAAGGACATTTAATAGAATGCCAAGTTTTAAAACTTTGTGTTTTCTCAAATACATTGGTTCGCTGATGATACGATAAGTATAAATCTTGACTTTCTATTGGATTTTTTAAAGGCTTCCTTAATAGAAAACTGAACCTGATAAGTTCTCCAGCACATGGAGAAACAGTGTGTGCGCCTTTGTATTTTGGAAGGGATGCCTTTCCTTCCATCTCTCTGTTCGGTCTATTTTGGGAACCGTTCCCTGTCGTGCCTCCTTCCCAAAGGGCGGAAAGAGCGGCATTTAGAGGCTGGAAAGGACTTCTAATGTTGTATTCTGGCCCATCTGGCTTTGATGATAATAATAAGTCTTTGCTGCTACGAACAGTTTGCTTCCTTGGTCCGCTCAACAGAGCTTTCCAAAGGTCTGGAAAGCAAACACTGCCGACATGGTTCTTGACCTCATTATTTTGCCATTGCTTCTAAGCACCTTGGCTCTGGAGGGTTTGCAAAAGGGTTTGCCAAACTACCATGACCTCTTTTCTTGGAAACGCACCTTTTCCCAAGACCTCAGCATGGAAAAGGGGGCTAAAATAGCACTACTGGTTTCTATGGGAAGGAAAACAAGCTGGAATTTGTAGGTCTCGGTCCCAGTGGATGAAAGGAAAGCAAAATAGAAACTCTCCTTTTTTTTAGGGATGGAAGAACGTCTGATGCAAGAGCTGATCCCCATTTCTTTGACTATATATTGCAAATCACAGCCTATTTCCCACATTCCCATTCCCCTGGTCATTTCTCTCTTTGGATGCCTAGACCTATTTCTGAATGCTCTAGATGTTAAGGCAGCATTAACAGAAATGTGGGGACTGAAGGGAACCCTTAAACACCCTTCTTTGCCCATCTGCACATCCAAGAAATGCGTCACAAAACCTAGGTTGTTAACTGGAGTGAATTACAGGGAGCGGTCAACCCCAAACAGCTCCACTGGCTGCTGATAAGTTTCCGGTTTCAATTCAAGGTACAGGTTATCACCTATAAAGCCCTAAACAGTTTAGGAACTGCCTATCTTTGCAACCACATCTTCCCTTATGAACCTGCACAATCGCTAAGATCTTCTGGGTAAGCTCTCCTGTTGAGATTAACTTCACAATTCAGCAGCAGATCAGTTGGACAACTTCAGTGCTTTCCAGTAGGTTCTTCCTGCACAGTATTTTCAGTCAACTGCTCCCACAGCCTGCAGTCACTCTGGAACCTTTTACATACACTTGAGCACATGCCCGACCATTGTCAGTTTTACCATTGTCTTTCTCCCAGTCTAGATGATATTACAGACTTACCACAGCACATAGTTATATCTTGTCTTATCAGACAGGTTCTTTTAATTACATATAGCCTTTGACGAACAACATCACAGCCCAAGGAGAGATATACACTGTATATGACTTCCTTATATACAATTCTATACAATTACACATAGCAATCTCTGATTGGTTCCCAACTCATTGACTCAACTCAAACCTAGGATTGCATCATTCACAATCACCTGGACTAGGCCAGAACACATTCCCCAAATGAAGTTCTATATACAGTTAATGCAGGACTCAGCATTTCCAATAGAAGCCTATTAGCAGTGCATGATTCAGCTATATTACATTACAATACATTGTAAAACCTGACATCTTCTCTCGCTCCCATCACAAACGTGGTTGGTGGGGATGAGAGAAGGGGCCTTCCTACTCGGTGGTGGCCCCGCGGCTCTGGGACTCTCTCCCTAGGGAGATTAGACTGGCACCCACCCTGTCTACCTTCTGTAAAGGATGTTCCATTGTATTTTTGATTAGACAGCTCCCCAGATAACTTTGTCGCCAGCTATGATTGAACTGCGTCTCAAAACACCAAGTGGACCTACCAGCAAGGCCTGTCGTCTCTTCAACTGGAGTTCTTTGATCTTTAGGGCTGTTTCCCTGGAAAGTCTTCAAAGCTTTGGGGATGCTTCCCTGGAAAATCTTTCCCTGGAAATTCTTTCCCTTCTGTTTCTGTTGGAATTTCTGTAACCCTGGAAATTCTTAAAGGTTGAAACTTTTGTACAGGGGAAGCTTTACACACGTCCTGTACATAGCTTTCCTTGCTGAGACTAACTAAAAAAATGGCTCCCTTCCCTTCCCAATTGCCCTGAGCAAGGGGCGGGACCAAACTTAATTATGATGGACAGGCGGCTTGCCCTATAACTGCAACCAAAGAAGCCACCTATCTGCAGAGTCCCTGAAACTTAGGACTACAAACAAACATCCAATGCAAAGCAAACAAAATTGGAGCTCCTGGTACAGCTGTACCAGAACAAGGCTACTACTCCTATTTGGGCTGACTCTTCCTTTGCACAGACTTGGAATAAGCAGAATGCTGGAACAACACAGCAGCTTTCATGTTTGTTTCCACAGAGCTCGGTTAGCCAAGGAGGAAGGAAAGAAAGGATTACTCACATCTGCGTAAACATTGGTCCCATAGACCGGGGCCCAGTACGATGGCTCATCCTTGCAATACGCTGGACAGTATGACCTGAAAGGCAAGAGGCGTGTTGAAATGAATTCCTTCCACTGCATCTCATTCACAGCCAGATTGTTCATGGTCCATTGATGTAGGAACATCTCTCCTGGATTGGACCAGGAATCAGTAACAGATAGTGGAATGGTTTCCAAGTAGGACTGGAATGCTTACACTTCCCAATAGTGGTGGCCAGTGTCTTATATTTTAGAGGGACAGCAACCTTGGACTCAGAAGGACCTCTGCAGCTTTCCCCCAAAAGATGTTCAAGACCTCAGATAGCACCTATAAAGTATGGATTGAAATCTGGAATGGATTCACCATCCATGAACATGAAAATCACTTGTAGCTATTGCTTCCTAGTAGATATTAGATCAGGAGTGGCTCAACCAGTGCTGTGCAAATACTTTAGATTCTGGCTCACTAGCTGATGCTAATGAGACTAGCCAATCATCTGCTAGCCAACAGGCTATCCTATTATTATTATTATTATTATTATTATTATTATTATTATTATTATGGTATATAATGTGAGAGATGAACATGGTCCTACAATGGTACACTGGTCAACTCGTGCTTGAAATAGATGGGAATGGAGAATCAAGAAGATGTTGTGATCCGTGCAAAAGTCAAAGAACAGATCGTAAGTGACTAAGTCAGTGGTTCTCAACTTGGAATCCCCAGATGTTTTTGGCCTTCAACTCCCAGAAATCCTAACAACTGGTAAACTGGCTGGGATTTCTGGGAGTTGTAGGCCAAAAACATCTGGGGACTCCAGGTTGAGAACCACTGGGCTAAGTGATTATTATGTTTATTTATACCCTGCTTTTTCTCTCCATACGGAGACTCAAAGCAATTAGTCCAGCCCTGGTTGAACTACCTCCTGCCTCCATTCTTGCATTGAAAGAGTTGGCAGAAAAGGAGCAGCAATGGTTGGTTATTTATACCAGAGAATCACCTCATTTCTAAAGTGTTGCTGTGGTTGCTGGTTGGCTATCCCTTCTATGGATCCTGCAGAGTTTCAATGGAGTTCCTGCAAGAGAAATCCCACAAAAATGTCCTTCTCTCTCAGTAAAATGCCATGACGTACCTTGGGCAATGAGTGGCTGGCTTCTTGAATGGACAGAGCTCCTCTACCGTGGTGTAACAATCCAGTGTCTGCACTGCGAAAACAAACAAAGATGGCCTATGAAACCCATGAGGTGGGAGAAGACACTCAAAACAGACTTCCACCCACTATAACCATCATATTTAACACTGCATAATTTTCAACAGATAGGAGGTCAGATCTCAGTAGGCTTCCTCAGCCAAACAACCTTACTATTTTATGGAAACTGCAGGTAGAATTATTTTATGGAAAGAATTAGCAGAATTATCTGTTTCAGAATTATCTGGAGCAGATTTGAGGTCAAGGTTGAGCACCTAGATCAGTAGTTCCCAAACTTTGGTCCATTTAGACTTCATCTCCCCGAAGCTCTATCCACGTTAGGCAATGGTCATAAATTCTGGAAGATGAAATCCAAAATATCTGGAGAACCAACACTAGGGAATTGCGGACCTAGCTCTAGCTAGTGTTTCTAGAGTATGGTGAAAGCTCCTTCTTTTCGAGGCTTTTAAACAGAGGCTGGATGGCCATCTCTCGGGGGTGCTTTGAATGCGATTTTCCTGCTTCTTGGCACAATGGGGTTGGACTGGATGGCCCACGAGGTCTCTTCCAACTCTAGACTTCTATTATCTATATTGACCCAAAGATGGGGAGGAAACAAAAGCTAGATCTTGACATCTAGAGCAGTTCAAGGGAAAGGCGATCAGCATAAGGACTTGGTAGCTACTCAAAGACAACAGAAGCAGAGCTTAGAGAAGTGACATTTAGGACTATATATATATCCCAGAATCCCCAAGTAGTGCATTCTGGTTAGAAAAAGAAGAACATTATATATGATGACCAATATCACTTCCAATTTCAGTTTAGACCTACTTCAGCCAATTTGGCAGATTTTGAATAGGTTTTTAAAGCTTGAGCATTTGGAATATTTGGATGGTTTGGTGCACGCATAGGCAAACTTTGTCCCTTCAGGTGTTTTGGACTGTAACTCCCACCATTCCCAACAGCCTACCAGCTGTTAGGAATGGTGGGAGTTACAGTCCAAAACATTTTGAGGGACAAAGTTTCCCCATACCTGATTTGGAGGGTTCCATGAAATACATTTTGGGGCTCCAAGGGTATAGATAGCTTGCAAGTCACATTTTTTCCTATCGCTCTCCTAAATCTTGGAAAAGGTGCTTTGGCAACCATTCTATCTAGGAAATGAGTCTATAAGCTGTAGTCCAAAAAAGTACCTTTTCCAAGCCCTGGCCTATTTGGTACATTTGCTCCAAAAGGAGACAACCGTTGGAATGTTTTGCCCAGAAGAGACATTGCAAGAGCTCTTTTCTCTTTCCCCTCCTCCCAAAGATCTGACAAATTACAAAACTGTGTTTCCATTTAACATGGGACGGGGAGATTTCAGGCGGTCCTTCCTGGCAGGTTTTAAATCAAACCCTAAATTTCAGAAAGCTCTCTGTGGCACAGCTTCTGAAGCGCTCCGCTTTGACTTCCTGGTGCCTTTTGTTCGAGCAAACAGAGATCTGGCAGAAAGACGTGTTTGGCCTGGATCGCAACGGAAACCGGGTGGAAAAATGGCTGCATTTTGGGGACAATATTCGCCCTGTTTTATGTTTGGAGATGCCTTGCTTTGCTCCTCTTCCAATTAGAAAGGCTGTTTTCACAAGGACATGAAAGGGGCAAACGGAGGGAAAGGGACAACAAAGAGAACTCATGGCCGTTGGAGCTAAATTGGAGGATACACGTTGGGCCAGCCCAAGTGGAAATGATTGTCCCTTTCTTCTGAAGGCTGAGTTTTCTCTTTGAGGTTGAGGACTTTTGAAGGAGAGGAAGGGAGGAAGGAAGGAAACACCCGAGGATTAGATAAACCTTATTATGCTAATGTTGATGATAATTTAAACATAGGATGTTCAGGCCATGGTCATTTTGCATGGCTTTGTGAAAACACTTCTCCAAGGCTGGAGCTACATTGCCATTCAGTTTCTGAATCTGAATTATCTGCTTCCAAGTGAATTATATTATTATTATTATTATTATTATTATTAAACTTTATTTGTACCCCACTAACATCTCCCGAAGGACTCGATGCGGCTTACACAGGCCACTTCATTTCTAAAGTGTTTCCAAAGTGCTGTTAGTAAACATTTCATTACAATGACAAGAGTGGTGAAATTTTGTGACTTTTTCGTTCTAGTAATTGTGCAAACGAGGAAACTTCAAGGGCTCCTTTCTTCCCATTTTATAGCTATTGGGGGTGAAACTTGCTACAAAAGTAGAACACATTGACCACTGTTAGCCTGTCAAGTTTCAGGATGTTTCGCATTATTTATTTTTTGGAATTTTCAAAGTTTTTATGAACATTTTTTTTAAAAAAACTACAAGAGTGGTCTCCTTGACTTTTCTATACATTGACACAATGTGACAGGGGATAATTCTCCCCAACATTCAGAAATAATCATACATCAACTGATTTTAGGGAATTTTTTTAAACGTTTTGACAAAAAGCCACACCAGCTATCCCCTTGAATGCCTCTCTCTGTCTCATATGAAGCAATAGAACTTCCATGGAGGGATTTTTCCCAGCCCAATACAGAGACTGACTCACTAGAGCAGTTTTTCTCAACCTGGGGGTCGGGACCCCTGAGGGGGTCGTGAGGGGATGTCAAAGGGGTCGCCAAAGACCATCAGAAAACATAGTATTGTCTGGTAGTCACTGGGATTCTGTGTGGGAAGTTTGACCCAATTCTATTGTTGGTCGAGTTCAGAATGCTCTTTGATTGTAGGTGAACTATAAATCCCAGCAACTATATCTCCCAAATGTCAAGGTCTATTTTCCCCAGACTCTACCAGTGTTCACATTTGGGCATACTGAGTATTTGTGCTAAGTTTGGTCCAGATCCATCCTTGTTTGAGTCCACAGTGCTCCTCTGGATATAGGTGAACTACAACTCCCAAACTCAAGGTCAATGCCCACAAAACATTTCCAGTGTTTTCTGTTGGTCATGGGAGTTCTTTGTGCCAAGTTCGGTTTAAATCCATCGCTGGTGGAGTTCAGAATGCTTTTTGATTATAAGTGAACTATAAATCCCAGCAACTACAACTCCCAAATTACAAAATCAAATCCACCCCCCACCCCCACCCCACTAGCATTCACATTTGGGCATATTGGGTATTTGTGCTCAATTTAGTCCAGTGAATGAAAATATAACCTGCATATCGGATATTTACATTACGATTTATAACCGTACTAAAATGACAGGCATCAAGTAGCAACGAAAACAATATTATGGTTGGGGGTCACCACAACATATGGAACGGTATTAAGGGGTCACGGCATTAGCAAGGTTGAGAACCACTTCACTAGAGGTCTCAGTCCATCCTCCTCTTTGCAGATTCAACCATTCATGGGAACTCTGGCTGCTGCTGTGATGGAGGGACACATCTCTCCCTCTCCTGATTGGGCCTTCTTGATGCTGGGCAGAATTCTGGGAATTGTAGTTCAGGGCAGGCCCTTTTGCATTCTCTGCCACAGGGTTCCTTGCCTTCCCAAACTACATTTCCCATAATCCTGTGCTTTCTCTTTCTCTTTCCCGCCGAACTCTGCTTCCTCCTTGCTGCTTCCCTCACCTCTTGGCAAGAGGCCATTCATTTAAAAAGGAAAAGCGGCCTTTTTTTTTGCTTGGCTTTTCTTCCTTGCACTGAAAATGAAACTGACCTTGGGAGGCTTTGACAAAATGCAAACAGAAAAGTATGGGGGGAGTTTCAATTCTTAAGTTTTTGGCACGTGTCATTTATTTCACCTCATAAGTATAAATTTAAGGCATTTGATCTAACTTATGAAGAATAACAAAAATTTTGCATAGCTGTACTTAACATGTAAAGCACGAAGGGCTTACCTGTCACTTTGGAAACAACAAAGGCATTGGAAGGCTTGAATTTACTGTAAAAGACAGAGCAAAGTCAATGTTAATTAAATGTCAATTAGAATCAAATGGGCATAAATGATCTGGCCACAGTGGTCCACGCTCTTGTCACATCCCGAATAGATTACTGCAATGCGCTCTACGTGGGGTTGCCTTTGAAGACTGTTCTGAAACTTCAATTAGTCCAACGGGTGGCAGCCAGATTACTAACTGAAGCATCATACAGGGAGCATACCACCCCCGTTATTTCAGCTCCACTGGCTGCCTATCCAGTTCCGAGCACAATTAAAAGTGCTGGTTTTGACCTATAAAACCCTATATGGCTCCGGTCCAATGTACCTGTTGGGACGTATCTCCTTCTACGTATCTCAGAGTTTAAGATCTTCTGGGGATTCCCTGCTCTTGGCCCCACCTCTTTCTCAAACATGCTTGGCGTGGATGAGGGACAGGGCCTTCTTGGTGGTGGCCCCCCGCCTGTGGAACTCACTCCCTGGGGAAATTAGGTCATTTACATCCCTCCTCACTTTTAGGAAAAAGTTAAAAACCTGGATGTGGGACCAAGGTTTCGGGTAATTAAGCAGACAGTGACAATAACAAGATTGGAAATGGCTTGGAAATGGATTATGGATAAGTTTGATGGAGCATTCACTGGGATTGTGGCGCAGCTGGCTGAGTGTCAGCTGCATTAAAATCACTCTGACCAAAAAGGTCATGAGTTTGAAGCCAGCCCGGGTTGGAGTGGGTTTCCAACCAATTGTGTATAGCCTGTTGTCGACCTTTGCAACCCGAAAGACAGTTGCATCTGTCAAGTAGGAAAATAAGGTACCACATTAAAGTGTGGGGAGGTTAAATTAACTGATTTATGAGGCCATAAAGAAGACTCCAGCAAAGCATTCCAGCGGGGAATGCGGAAGTGCTTCATCAGCGTCGCAGATGGACGATGAAAGCGACAGCTCCCCTGGCGGCCAGAAAAAGTTAAATAGCCTCTGTGTATGTCTGTATATGTTTGTATGTCAAAAATTGGCATTGAAGGTTTGCCCTGAGTCCCCTGCGGGGTGAGAAGGGCGGAATATAAAAGCTGTAAATAAATAAATAATAAATAATAGTTTTTGGCTAATAATGGTCACTAAAGTGGTAATTCTTAGTAGTTTTTAATTGTATTGTTTAATGTTTTTAACTATTTAAAATTGATGGCTTATTTATTATGTATTTTTATGTATTTGCTGTGGCACATTGGAAGCCACCCTGAGTCCCCCCCAGGCGGGTACAAGTGTTCGAAATAAATAAATAAAGCAAATTTGGGACAGAAATTACCTTATCGAGTCAATTCCATTTCTTGTTGACTTGACAAAGAAGTCTGATCTTCCTTTCCTGGTGATATCGACTAATCCTCCTCGGTTGTCCAACACACCGGAATGAATGGCAGCCCGGCATATACTGGATGACTGCAAGGAATAAGAGGATTTTGAAAACGTTTAATTAAGTTACACCATATATTATGTATGTGTGTGTTTGTGTGTGTGTATTTAATCTTTATGGTCTTTGCCAAATAGAACCTTCAACTCAAAATAGTTGCATCAAGCAAGCAAACAATGCAAATTGGTCTTGCTCCAATTTGGCCTGGTGGGAGTGGCTAAATAAACCAGGAAGAGTCCAATTAGGATTTGTTTTGCATTGCATGTAAATGAGAATGATTGCCTTCCCAACAGGCCAGGTTTATAAACCATCTATATATAAATAAAAATGTAATGTTCGTTCGTGCTACCATCAGAACTCAAAAACCACTGGAGGAATTGACACCAAATTTGGACACAAGACACCTAACAACCCAATGTATGTCCTCCACTAAAAAATAATTGATTTTGTCATTGGGGAATTGTCGTTGCTGGGATTTATAGTTTACCTACAATCAAAGAGCATTCTGAACTCCACCAATTATGGAATTGGGCCAAACTTAGCACACAGGGCTCCCATGACCAACAGAAAAAAATGGAAGGGTTTGGCAGACATTGACTTTGAGTTTGGGAATTGTAGTTCACCCACATCCAGAGAGCACTGTGGACTCAAACAATGATGGATCTGGACCAAACTTGGCACGAATATTCCATATGCCCAAATATGAACACAGATGGAGTTTAAGGGAAATAGACCTTGAGTTTGGGAGTTGTAGTTCATCTACATCCAGAGAGCACTGTGGACTCAAACAATGATGGATCTGGACCAAACTTGGCACAAATATTCCATATGCCCAAATATGAACAAAGATGGAGTTTGGAGGAAATAGACCTTGACATTTGGGATTTGTAGTTACTGGGATTTATAGTTCACTTACAATCAAAGAGCATTCTGAACTCTACCAATGATGGAATTGAACCAAACATGGCATACAGGACTTCTATGACCAACAGAACACACTGGAAGAGTTTGGTGGGCATTGACCTTGAATTTGGGAGTTGTAGTTCACCTACATCCAGAGAGCACTGTGGACTCAAACAATGATGGATCTGGACCAAACTTGACACAAAAAATCCATATGCCTAAATATGAACACAGATGGAGTTTGGAGGAAATAGACCTTGGCATTTGGGATTTGTAGTTACTGGGATTTATAGTTCACTACAATTAAAGAGCATTCTGAAACTCACAAACTACAGAAATGGGGCAACCTTCCCACACAGAACCCCCATGACCAACAGAAGATACTTAAGGCCATCCAGTCCAACTCTCTTCACCAGGGCAAGAAAATGTAATCAGAGCCCTCCTGACAAAGAGCCGACCAGTCATAAATATAGATAGATAGATAGATAGATAGATAGATAGATAGATAGATACGATTCTCACACACACACACACACAGATATAGTATCATAGATTTGAAAGAGACCCCTAAAGAAGGACAATGATGTGTTGCATATTCCAGAGTAGGCAAGCCAGACACTCTCCACATCAACACTGACAAAGAAACAACAAGAAATACTGTTTACTCACAAGCAGAAAGGCATTACATATATTAGAAACCAACACTTTCTCATTACTTTATTTTCCAGATCACCAGACTGGGCCACAGCAACGCGTGGCAGGGGACAGCTAGTAGTTTGATATAAGAGCAGCTTCAAAGTTCCCAATTTGGTTAAAATACTTAAGGGAAGAATCCCTTTGAAAAATGATGTGTTTTAAAGTGTAATTTCAAAAAGTTTCCCAAAGTTTAGTTTTTGACTTACGCTCTCATAGCTGAAGGTCCCAAACACTTTGGCCCTGCTGTTCAAACAGCCGGCAGGACAGAGGTATCTAGAGAAAGAAATGAATGTGTTATTGGGATAGTAAGCATTTCTCCATCATAAATGGGACTGATCCCTCAATCCCTATTTCTAATACTTAGCTATGGCTTTGTTTCCCAAAATGTAGTGGGTCAATCTATTTGAACATGTGTTGCTACTTCATCACACTACAGAATAAATCCACTTGAAATCCGGTTTCAGTCTCCTGCAGAATTCTGGGGTTTGTAGTTTAGGGAGGAGCTTTTCACAGCCTAGTGTGATGTTTGCCCATTATTAGAGGGTCTCCAACTGACCCCTAATCCATCTAAAACACAGACATGTGCCTTTCACCTTAAGAACAGACAAGCATCCCGAGCTCTGAGGATTATCTGGGAAGGAATCCCACTGGAGCATTGCAGCACACCCAAATACCTGGGAGTCACTCTGGACCGTGCTCTGACCTACAAGAAGCACTGCCTGAACATCAAGCAAAAAGTGGGTGCTAGAAACAATATCATACGAAAGCTGACTGGCACAACCTGGGGATCACAACCAGACACAGTGAAGCATCTGCCCTTGCACTTTGCTACTTTGCTGCTGAGTATGCATGCCCAGCGGGAACACATATCACCATGCTAAAACAGTAGATGTGGCTCTTAATGAGACATGCCGCATTATCACAGAGTGTCTGCGCCTACACCAATGGAGAAATTACACTGCTTAGCCAGTATTGCACCACCTGACATCCGCCGGGAAGTAGCAGCCAATAGTGAAAGGACCAAGGCAGAGACATCTCCAGCTCATCCCCTGTTTGGGTATCAGCCAGCACGTCAACGACTTAAATCAAGACATAGTTTTCTAAGATCTACAGAGACACTCGCTGGAACACCTCAGCAAGCGAGAGTCCAAAAGTGGCAGGCTCAAACCCAGCACCTCAATCCATTGGTGATACCAAATGAGAGACTCCCCCCTGGGCACACAGAAGACTGGGCGACTTGGAAGGCTGAACAGACTGCGCTCTGGCACCACGAGATGCAGAGCCAACCTTAAGAAATGGGGCCACAAAGTGGAATCCATGACATGCAAGTGTGGAGAAGAGCAAACCACTGACCACCTGCTGCAATGCACCCTGAGCCCTGCCACATGCACAATGGAGGACCTTCTTGCGGCAACACCAGAGGCACTCCAAGTGGCCAGATACTGGTCAAAGGACATTTAATCAACTACCAAGTTTGCAAAATTTGTGTTTTCTTATCTGATTGTTTGGTTTGTTCTGTTAGCAATGTAATACAATGGTATGGTTGCTGATGACACGATAAATAAATAATCCACAATTGCAAGACTATGTTGATGCATTCCGAGTGCATCTACACTGTCGCATGAATGCAGTTTGGCACCACCTTGACAGCCATGGCTCAATTATGTGTTGCAGTTTTGCAGCTCCCATGATTTGATACTTCATCAATCTACAACATCCAGGATCCCATAGCCTTGAGCAATGGCAGTTCAAGTGGGATCAAACTGCATTAACTCTGCAATGTAGATGCACCCCCAGTCATTCTAGATCAGCTTGAAAATGTTACATTTATGGAATACAATTCCCAGAATCCTCCAACTCACATAGACATTTGGGGATTCTAGGATATATAATCCTGCTAAAGAGCTATGCTTTTAATCCAATGGTCCAACTGACCTTAGTGTATCTTCCAGATAGTTGGTCAAAATTACATATCCACTGTAAAATGAATGCAGAATGACACCACTTTAACGCAGTGTTACTGAATCATGGGATTTGTAGCTTGTTGGGTCGTCAGCACTGCTTGGCAGGGAAGGCTAAAATCCTGACATAAAGAATGTTGCGTTTGGAAAATCCCCATGCTTGGATCTTCCAATCAGATTAAAGAGGATGCAGCTTCTTTACAAGAGGAAAATGCACAAGTGTCCCATATACAGCGAACTCACTGACCTCATTGGTAACGTTTAGAAAAGCAACCCACGGCAATGTAAAGTGAAAGAAAAGTTTTAAAAATAAATAAATAGCACCTCCAGCTCTGTGTCGTTCCAAACAACCTTCTCTTTAAGGAGCTGGACGATGTTTGGTTTGGGTTTGGCCGATTTCTCCGCCACCCCCTTAAGTGCCCCACCGCCGACACCACAAAGTGATAAACTCCACTCTTAATTCCAGCTAAAAAACCAGGGAAAGGGCAACAGATCGGACAAATAAACGTCACCGGAGAGGGATACCGAAAGGTCAGGGCCAATGTTAGACAAATGTTGTCCAAATCAGGTTCTCTAATGGGCATTTGGAGCATCAATTCAACTGTATCGTCTACCTTCTCTGCCAAACTATGGTGGTTTCATTGATATGAAGGCCCAGTTCACGAAAAGTTTGGATTGAAACACAACTGGGTACCACCTGTCCACTAGATCCATGTCATAACAAACACAATATAATCTATTATTATTATTATTATTATTATTATTATTATTATTATTTACAGCTTTTATATTCCGCCCTTCTCACCCCGCAGGGGACTCAGGGCGGATTACAGTGTACGCATATATGGCAAACATTCAATGCCAATTTTTGACATACAAACATATACAGACATAGAGAGAGGCTATTTAACTTTTTCTGGCTGCCAGGGGAGCTGTCGCTTTCATCGTCCATCTGCGACGCTGATGAAGCACTTCCGCATTCCCCGCATGCTTCCCCGCTGGAATGCTTTGCTGGAGTCTTCTTTATGGCCTCATAAATCAGTTAATTTAGCCTCCCCACACTTTAAGGTGGTACCTAATTTTCCTACTTGACAGATGCAACTGTCTTTCGGGTTGCAAAGGTCGACAACAGGCTACACAATTGGTTGGAAACCCACTCCAACCCGGGCTGGCTTCGAACTCATGACCTTTTGGTCAGAGTGATCTTAATGCAGCTGACACTCAGCCAGCTGCGCCACAATCCCGGTTTGGTATTGGAAAACACAAAGCAACATCACCACCACCACCATTCCTGCATGGCCCTTGTGGTCTTTTCCAACTCGATGGTTCAGTCATGATGATGGTGATGATTGGTATCCTGCCTTTATCTCTCAATTGAGAAATAAACAGAATGTCTTGTTTTTACACAGAGATGCAGGAATAAGTGGGAAGTGCAAAGAGAGCAATAGGGTTGGACTGGATGGCCTTCGCGGACCCTTCCGGCTCTATACAGCAACATGGCTTACCTATTACATGTCGAGCCTTTGCATTTGTCCCTCATTTTGGTGTCACATTTGATGACTTGGGCTGGAATCAGGAGAAAAGACACAACTGTGAGCTGAGGTTGCTAATGTGATAAGTCAGAAAGTAGGGAAAGGACGTATAAGTTCACATCAAAGATGGATGAAATCTCATAAGAAGTAGAAGTGTCACAATGTAAGAAAAATCCAACAATCATAAGGCCTAGGAACTTTGATTTCTAGAACAGGTGATGGATAGGAAGGGAGGAAGGGAGGAGAGAAAGAAGAAGAGAAGGAGAGAAAGGAGGAAGGAAGAAAACAGGGAGGGAGGGAGGGAGGGAGGGAGGGAGGAGGGAGGGGAGGAGGAAAGGAAGGAAGGGGGAGAAAGGAGAGAAAAAAGAAAAGGGAGGAAAGAAGGAAGGAATGAAGGAAGGAGCGAAGGAAGAAAGAAGGGAGAAGGAAGAGGGAGGGAGGGAAGGAAGGAAAAAGAAAGAAGAAGGAAGGAGGGAGAAGGAAGGAGGAGTAGAGAAAGAAAAAGAGAAAGGAGGAGGGAGAAGGAAGGAAAGAAGGAGGAGGAAGAAGAAGGAGAGAAGAAGAAGGGAGGGAAGGAGGGAAGGAAAAGAAGGAGATAAGAAGGAGAGAAGGGGGAGGAAAAGAAGGGGAGGAAGGAAGAAAGGAGAAAAGGAGGGAGGGAGGGAGGGAGGGAGGGAAGGATAAAGAAAGAAAGGGAAGAAAAGGAGGGAGGGGGGAGAAGGAAGAAAGAAGGAGGGAGGAAGAAGGAAGGAGAGAAAGAAGAGAAAAGGGAAGGAAGGGAGAGGAAAGGAAGAAGGGAAAGGAGAGAAGGGAGGGAGGGAGGGAGGGAGGGGGGAGGGAGGGAGGGAGGAGAAGGAAGGAAAGAAGGAAGGAAGGGAGAGGAAGGAAGGAAGAAGGAAGGAAGGAAAGAAGGGAGGAAGGAGAGAAGGAGATAGAAGGAAGGGAAGGAAGGAAGGAAGGAAGGAAGGAAGGAAGGAAGGAAGGAAGGAAGGAAGGAAGGAAGGAAGGTAGGAAGGAAGGAAGGAAGGGAGGGTAGGAGGAAGAAGGGAGGGAGGAAGAAGAGAGGGAGGGAGGAAGCAAAAAAAAAAAAAAAGGGAGGGAGGGAAGAAAGGGAGGGAGGGAGGGAAGGAAGGAAGGAAGGAAGGGAGAAAGAAAGAAAGATAAAGAATGAAAGAATGAAGGAAAGGAGGGAGTAGAGAAAGAAAAAGAAGGAAAGGAGGGAGGGGAGAAGGAAGAAAGCAAGGGAGGGAGGAAGCAAGGAAGGAGAGAAAGAAGGAGAGAAGGGGGGGAACAAGGGAGGGAAGGAGGAAAGGAAGGGAGGGAGGAAGGAACAAAGCAAAGGAGGAAAGAGAGAAAGAAGAAGAGAAGGGAGGGAGGGAAGACAGTCAAATACTTCATTAATTCTACAGTGTAGATGCTCCCTTGGAGACAGCTACTACCCAAGCTAATGAATTCCCCAGCATAAAACCCAACACGATCTCAAATCTCAGGAAACGAAGGGAGGCTTCTTACTCATGTAAGCCACCGTTGTCCTTTTCTTCTCCTTGGCGGGCTTTGTGGGCTGGGGCTTCACCCTCTCTGGGACCCACACATGTTGGTCTTCCGTCACTTGTGGCACTTCCACTTCGTTTGTTTCCTCTCTCTCGGGTTTCTGTGCAAAAGCGTCATCTGTATTTCCCCCCAAAAGGATACAAAGGAGACACATGTTCATGTTTAAGGTCAGTGGCACAGAAGGCAAGCTGTCATTTGCTGAAGGGTTTTGGGCACAAGAGTTCACTTCTAGCCTAAAGCTTTAAATACAGAGCAAACAGCAAGAGAAGGGGACCATTCTCTGCTCAGGTCGGCAGCAGCAAACAAGACCTGAGTGTGCAAAATCTAAGAATGGCTTGCCTGGATTAGATCAAGGGCTATCTGGTCCAACAGTTTGGTTTCTAGACGCAGGTAGCCAAATGGAAACATATTACATCCACCTTCCTTGTCCTTTGCCCACAGCATTTGCTACTGAGTGGTATAGTGCCATTGAACATGGAGGTTTCATTCAGCTCAAAGGGGTATGTGTTGTCAGTGGAAAGGTGAATCCTAGTTTCAAGGAAGGCTTTTATGGAGCTATCCAAGGTACTGAATCCTATCTGCCCAATAGGATTCAGCACTTTGGATACTTTAGTTTGATACTGCGAATAACTTTGTCCAAGTTCAGACTCAAACCCAAAGCAGATTCACTAGCTGTTGGCATGGAGGACACCAGCTACCTCTGAACACATCTTTTTCGTAGTAGAAGTATCCCTCAAAAAAACTTTGTTCGCACAATTGAGACTCGTGCGCCAACTGCGACCGTACCTCGCGAAGGCTGATCTGGTCGGGGTGGTCCATGCCTTGGTCACCTCCAGATTAGACTACTGCAATGCGCTTTATGTGGGGCTGCCCTTGAAAACGGCTCGGAAGTTCCAACTGGTCCAACGAGCAGCAGCCAGGATGTTAACTGGGGCCCCTTACAGAGAGAGGTCAACCCTCCTGTTCAAGGAGCTCCACTGGCTGCTGTTTATTTTCCGAGCCCAATTTAAGGTGCAGGTGCTTACCTACAAAGCCCTGAACGGTTTGGGACCATCCTACCTGCGTGACCGCATCTCTGTCTACGAACCCACGCATTCACTTCGGTCATCTGGAGAGGCCCTGCTCGTGATCCCGCCTGCGTCGCAAGCGCGTTTGGTGGGGACACGAGACAGGGCCTTTTCTGTGGTGGCCCCCCGACTCTGGAACACCCTCCCAAAAGATCTTAGACAGGCCCCTACATTGGCAGTCTTTAGAAAGAACTTGAAGACCTGGCTGTTCCGATGTGCCTTTCCAGAATAGGAAATCTCCAAGTCCCAGAAGCACTTTATTAGAACTAAGATTGCTGCACACTGCACACTGCACTTGCCCTATAAGCCTTATATACCACCTGTCACATCAGCACTTTTAATCCTGTACCCATTACTCTGGCCCGGCCCAGTTTTATTGTGTCTTAGTGTATTGTTTATTGCTTGTTGTTTATATTGCTTAATTGTTTTTAATTTGCCTTAGGTTTTGTATTGTTATATTGTGTGTTGAGGCCTTGGCCTTTGTAAGCCGCATCGAGTCCTTCGGGAGATGCTAGCGGGGTACAAATAAAGTTTAATAATAATAATAATAATAATAATAATAATAATAATACTCTTTGCAATCTCCTTTTCTGGAGATTTTGTGTATATGTGTGTATATATGTGTACAGATATATAGGCAGAGACTGAATGGCCATCCATCAGGAAGGCTTGGATTGTGCTATCCTGCATGGCAGATCGATGGACTACATAGACTTTCAGTCTCATCCAATTCTATAGTTCAATGCGGATAGGTTCCCAAACGCACCTTTGTAGCAGAGGTTTTCCCGGCAAACTCCTCCGTAGCTTGGGGGGCATTCGGAGCAAGGCCTGCCGTTCTTATATGGGGCTTCTCCGAACCAATTTCCTCTGAAAAGTGTATAGGAAAATGTTCTTTATTTATGTTCTGAAACATCCACTGTTCAGCACATAACACAGAGTCGCTTCACCAAACTGTTCTAGGCCCGGTGCCTGAATCGTCACCCTCCAAGCACAGCAAATATCCCTGCTATATTTACCCTTCGGTAGGTTACTGTAAATATGGGGAAGGATGACTCATGCCCCAGATGTATATTTCTGTAGCATTTGAGCCATTGGATGAAAGAAGTCAAGCAAACTGTATTTGCTTCCCATTTTTAAAAATGGCTTTGGATACGTTTGGCAATTAGCAGTTCAGCAATTCTTGCAATTATTTCGGACTTGGTTTCTTTCCTTGCACAGTCATCCAAGCGGCTGGTTTTTCAGATCTTTCCTTCTCAGAGTCATGTTCCTTTTTCCCAATGTGGAACACTCCCAAAAAATCCAAATATACTGCCCAGGGCATTTGCCAGCATCTGAGAACATTCACCACACACAGTGTTTTCCACAAGCTAAACACTAGTTGTTAATGGACACATATCACTTGCCACCAAATTCATCTTCGCGATGGAGTCCTACGCTTCTAGCCTCGACTGACCAGGAACGTGCTTGTTGTGAAAACATTCCCTTGGAGCAGACAACCTGCCCTTTGGGTGCAAACAAATCTCAGACCTGCTCTGCCAAGATTCCAAAAGTTGGTGGAAAAGTTGGCAGTTTCAAGTGGGGAAAGCAAATGTGGGTTCCAAAATTGGACCCAGTTTCCCAAAGTGAAGAGTGGGGAGTGTCATTTCAAAAGTCAATTTCAGACAATTTCTTGCAACAGGTGAGTTCTAAAATATGGGCACATTTAAAGTTAAAACTCTAGGGGGTTTTTTAAGGGTTTTTTTTGTCATGTCAGGATCAACTTGAGAAACTGCAAGTCGCTTCTGGTGTGAGAGAATTGGCCGTCTGCAATGACGTTGCCCAGGGGACGCCCAGATGATTTGATGTTTTTATCATCCTTGGGAGGCTTCTCTCATGTCCCCGCATGAGGAGCTGGAGCTGATAGAAGGAGCTCATCCGCCTCTCCCTGGATTTGAACCTGCGACCTGTCGGTCTTCAGTCCTGCCAGCACAGGGGTTTAACCCACTGTGCCACAGAGGGCTCCGCTCAGTTCTAGTAACTAGAACTGAGAGGCACTCTGAAAGGTCTCCAAGGTAGACTTTCAAACAGAGGCTGGATGGCCATCTGTCGGGGGTGCTTTGAATGTGATTTTCCTGCTTCCTGGCAGGGGATTGGACTGGATAGCCCACCAGGTCTCTTCCAACTCTATGATTCTATGATTCTATGGTTCTATAATGGGCGAGCAATTGGAGGGCCAGCTGGGAATCGTGGCTTGGATGTTGGACTGTGATGCTGGAGACTGGTCTGAATCCTTCTTTGGGAATTGAAACCCAGTGGATGATTACATTTTCTCAGCCTCAAAGGAAGGCAAACCTCCTCTGAACAAATCTTGAAAAGAAAACTGTTTGGTAGGCTCACCATAGAAATTGTGTAAAGAGATGCAATAACAAAATGGGCAACCATATAGAAACCACATGGATGATGTGCTTTCTGCACATCTCTTGCTTTAGACAAAATCCACCATTAGTACAAAACTTGCTTTGACTAATAATGACTGAGACAGAAAGATTGACCAATAACATCTTCTTTGCCTGGTATACTGTTAGGTAGATAATGCACTATTGATAGAAATGCATTGTTTGTAACTCCATTACGCACTACTGGTTGAAAAATACAGTTCTAATGGACATGTGGTCACACATCCACTGAAGGATTAAGTAGGTGGTGATGCATAACTTGAGGGACAGGCTAAAGAAGTTGAGTCATGACCATGTGAAAAATATGATGAGAATTGTATCATTTCCTTTTGACCCTTTTTGAGGATGAGAAGCAATGGGTATAAAAGCAAGCAGCAAGCAAGTCCGCTCTCTCTTCCCATGATTCTCACTTCTTGCTGTACATCTGTTGCTGATACCTGTCGTGAGTATATTTCTGTATGTACCGATAGAAGATCAGGAGATCCTTGTGGGTTTATATAGCTGTACATAAGCAACATGTCAAGATTAAAGCCTCCGCTGTGAGTTTTGGATGAAACACCAAAGTGTTTTCTTAAAACAGTCCGGCTGTGCAGTAAAACTCTGGTGACTTCTGTTTGGGTTGATTTTTATAGCTTGCCCTGAGACAATCAGTCCAGTGTGCAGTGTATTTAGCAAGGGCATGATAGAGGAAAGAGAAAACTATAAATCACGCACCTATCCCCCCCCCCCCCCCCCCCCCCCCAACTCTACTTACTTGGGAGAATAGTTGCAGACGAGATAAACAGCATTTTCCCAAAGCTGGCCCCAAACATCCATCCTTGGGCAGACATGAACAGCACAGCCCACCTTATTTGTTGTGGCCCAGACTATCTGGATAAGGGGACAAGGAATTAGAAGTCAAAATGCTCCAAATTCAACCAAAGAAAATCACTTTTGCCTTCAGCAGCAGAAAACCGGGCTAACCTTCCTCAGATGAAAATTCTGCAGCCACCGAAAAGCATCTCCATCAATGTAATGTCAAAGTCTTTCATGGCCAGAATAATTGGGTTGTTTTAGGTTTTTTCGGGCTATATGGCCATGGTCTAGAGGCATTTTCTCCTGATGTTTCGCCTGCATCTATGGCAAGCATCCTCAGAGGTAGTGAGGTCTGTTGGAAGTAGGAAAATGGGTTTATATATCTGTGGAATGACCAGGGTGGGACAAAGGACTTTTGTCTGCTGGAGCTAGGTGTGAATGTTTCAGTTGACCACCTTGATTAGCATTTAATGGCTTGGAAGTGCCTGGGGGGAATCTTTTGTTGAGAGGTAATTAGATGTACCTGATAGTTTACTCTCTATTGTTTTGCTGTTGTAATTTTTGAGTTTTTTAATACTGATAGCCAGATTTTGTTCATTTTCATGTTTTCCTCCTTTCTGTTGAAATTGTCCACATGCTTGTGGATTTCAATGGCTTCTCTGTGTAGCCTGACATGGTGGTTGTAAGAGTGGTCCAGCATTTTTGTATTCTCAAATAATATGCTGTGTCCAGGTTGGTTCATCAGGTGCTCTGCTATGGCTGACTTCTCTAGTTGAAGTAGTCTGCAGTGCCTTTCATGTTCCTTGATTCGTGTTTGGGCGCTGCGTTTGGTGATCCCTATGTCGACTTGTCCAAAGCTTCATGGAATATGGTAGACTCCTGCAGAGGTGAGAGGATCCCCCTCTCACCTCTGCAGGCACATCTAATCACCTCTCAACAAAAGATTCCCCCAGGCACTTCCAAGCCATTAAATGCTAATCAAGGTGGTCAGTTGAAACATTCACACCTAACTCCAGCAGACAAAAGTCCTTTGCCCCACCCTGGTCATTCCACAGATATATAAACCCATTTTCCTACTTCCAACAGACCTCACTACCTCTGAGGATGCTTGCCATAGATGCAGGCGAAACGTCAGGAGAAAATGCCTCTAGACCATGGCCATATAGCCTGAAAAAACCTACAACAACCCATCTCCATCAAATTTGGTGGTAGAACAGAAAAGGAATTTCCCTTGTGAATCTGAAGGCCTGGTTAGGCTTATATGGGAGAAGAGAGCCTTCCGATTGCCTAGACCCAAGATAAACAGGCTTCCCCCATTCGGGATCTGTTTTCTTGCAACTACTGTCTTTCTGTACATAGCTGACTGAACAGAGGGATTTCACACGGTTGAGTCCAAACTCTGCAGACTTGTGGCTTTCCTTACCTGTGTATAATGTGTGCACATGGTTCCTGTGCACCTTTCTGGACACCAAGGGTTGCACTCATGAGGGTATGGATATGTATAGTCTTTCACTTCATCATACCAAGATTGGACATGGAAAGATGGAGGACGGAACCTAAGAAAATTAGACACATGTTTTGGGATACTTTGCTGGTTAAACAGAAAGAATTGCTATCATACAGCGTTGTGATAAAATTACCTTTAGCCTAGGCCTGT